CATGCTGTGGAGTGGAGCTTGTAATGTAGGTTAGACCTCTGCACCTGAATTTCTTCAGACAAAAGGCCTGAAAGAATGGGAACACACAGACTGCTACAAGCTGCCTTAATACCACCTGTATTTCTGTCTGAGAGCGAGGAAATTGTCACTGAGACTGGACAGTCCGTAGTCCCATCTCTGTTTTTGTTTTGGTTTGTTGTTTCCCCCCACCTCTTTATAAATCTTCCAGCAATTGGGTAATGGTGACCCAGAACCTAAAATTATGAGAAGCACAACTAGTTTCTGTCATTGAACGTTGGTTGTAACTGCAGTGATGGCAGGAGCATTTGGGAGTTAAACCAGCTGCTCAATTTATTTTATTTTATTTTAAATAAGGTTCATCTTGTTGTGTTCACGCTCCAGTTGGCACCTCTACAGCTTGGCCTTTTATTTTCAAAGCTTTGGAAATGCACAGAAGTTTCCTGTGTCTCAGAACTGAAGCCCCCCTGTGTGCGGCAGTTCTGCCACTGTCCTTGGCCTTCTTCCTCTCTGGTCCATTAAACCAGTGCATTAACTGTGGTTTTGTGGGGGCAAAGACACCCCAAATGGCCCAGCCCCTAAGTACCTGCTGACAGTTTTGTATTTCCCAGCACATCTGTGTGCTCTGGATGGGATTAGCCCCTGCAGTTTGCCTTAATCTTTGTTGAGGAGAGGTGGGGAGGCAGATCACAGTCTTCTGAAATGAGATCTATGGGTTTGGGCACTTCACCATATCCATAGGAGCACCGAAGGGATTTGGGTGCCAAAGACCATGAGCACCTAAATCACTTGGGTACTTCTGAAACTGCCCATAACCCATCCTTTTTTAGGATCCCAGACAAACAACGTGAGTTTTTGGAAGAGCTGAGATCCTGGGTATCCCCCCAGGAGGAAACAGAGCTGCTGGACCTACAGTGCTTCTGAAAAATCATGTTGGTCTGGTCTCAAAGCCAAACCTGAGGCTTCTCTTTTCTTCCCCATAAATCGTGGCTTGCAGAGTCCTACCCGTGCAAAGCTGCCCCATCCCCAAACCACATCATTGTGTGGTGAGGATTTTAAGTCTGATATAGTGATTTCCATGAGCTGCTGCAGCTGTGTATGCCCTGTCCCTGCAAGCCGGCGAGGTCTCTCTGGGGCAGGGGAGCCCTGCAGCCACGAATGTGGTTTTGGCAGGCAGCCTCGTGGAGATGCCTCTCTAACCCCTCTCCGGTACTTTGGCTCGTAATTGGAAAGGGGTGAGATGAGAGGAGAAAGGCAAAAGGCGAGCAATTCACACGCCAGCCTGGATGGGACCCAGCGGTCGCCTCCCGCAGTTAGCACAGGCACCCCAGCACCCCATGGAAATAGTGGAAAGGACTAAAAAGAAACCTCACCAGCACATGCTGCTTTACAGAGAGATTTACTGAAGTTGTTTTGTTTGCTGAAAAGCTTGTCCCCGATTTATTTTCACTTATATTGAAACCTAAGACAAAAAAAAGAGAGGTGTTGACTGTGCTCCCTGCAAAATTGTATCTCACTAAGTGAAATGACCCAAGAGAATAGTGCAAAACCTTTGGAAATATAACTTAAATCTTTAGTTTCCCAACGTGAAGCTGACTTGAGTTGAGGGTGTAGATGCCTCTGCAGTTGGTGTTTCTAGGAAGCGCGGTCTGTGCTTGCAAATCCCGCCTGCCGCTGCCCAACACCTTCACTTGTCCATTCAGTTCACACCCCTGTTTGCAATTCCAGGCTGGTCCCAATAAGTGGTCTGTGACTATCGGGGTTCCAGGAGGGGAAGGGGCTCATCTTGGAGATATTTATATTGTATAGAGCAGCTTATTTCTACAAGAAAAAAAAAAAAAAGAACATTTTTAAACTCCAACAAAGTATACAGTAGTTTCAGTTCCGGTTTTTGTGACCTTTTTCAGGGATCATTTCAGTGCATTTCTGTATAAAATAAAAATTTAAGGAAAAAAGGATTTTGAAGTATAAAAAAAAATGCATCTTCTGTACATAGGCAAACTCAAGAATCTTCTCTTCAAACACTGTTTCTTGTAGAAACATGTTGAAATTTTTTTGCTGATTTCTTTGTACTTCAAGAGCATGTAAATAATTTATTAAAAGTGACTATTGTAATTTGGAGTTCTTTTTAAACAGATTCCAGCTCTAAATCATGTCAAGGAGATGGGGAGGAAGAAGGACTAAGTATAGCAAAGGAGCTGGTGGCATTTACAGCTTGTGTCAAGCTTTGTATAATGTAAATTCTGTATAAATATGGTTTTTGTCAAATAAATAGATGGAATTAGAAGCATTAAGAAACTGAAGACAAAAAATTGCCAAGTCAAGGCTTCTTCTTTCCCCCCCCCTCAGTCTGAAACCTAATGTGCAAAATCTATTTATTTCAAGCGAGGAAATGTGTACAGTCTAATAGACAACCTAAAATGTATTTAAGCGAGTTTGCAACTGGATTTTTTTCAATTTATTTTTTTTTTGTTTGTTTTTATGAGTTTCCTCCTTAATTGCCACTGTAGTATTTGTCCAAGTGAAAAGAAACACATCGTAACGGACACTCTAAAACAAATGGGCAGTTTTAAAAGCCAAATGGAAGAACACCCGGCTCCCAATCCTTGCAGTTTTCTGGTTCTATAAACAGGTTGTTTTAATTCACAGTGTGAAAATAAAGGGCTTCCTTTAAAAGGAGGCAGGTAAAATGGTTTGCAATAAATGAAAAAAATCTTATTTTTTTTAAGTTCCTTAAAAAAACAACTCTGCTTTGAAGATTTAGGATTTCTGCTTTTTCTTTTGTTAAGCAAATTTATAAATTTAGGGATGTTTTGTGCATATAGAATCTGTCACCAGTATGTATCTTGTTTTGAAGAAAGTGTTTTTGTTGTGGATGTGTCATGCTGTATATATTTGTTCATATTTTTGTGAATTGAATACTCTGTACCATTGTATTATAGTAACTTTTATAAAGCAAACCATAAATATACTGACTTTTCTTACAGAAAAATTACGTTGTGCTTAATATATAGCCAGGGCAGCTTTTTGCTGTCAGACCCCTGCTGGGAACCATGAGAGCTCAAAGAACCAGATCCAGAAAAAGAGCAGTCCAAAGAACTGATTTTCAGCAAACTTTACTGAAAATACTAATTCTGGTGAGCAGGCAATTACTTTAAGCAGCTTTATATTGCATGAAAGAAATATGCAAGTGATTTAAGTTTATAAACTTTAAGGCAATTTTCTTAGTATTAAAAATCCTTACAACCATTAGTTGCTGAAGCGCAGCCAGGCGCTGGCCCCCCTGCCACGGTGACACTGTCCCCAACCCACCCAACCTGGGCAGGGAGGGGTCCCTGTTCCTGCAGCCTCTGCCCTGGATTTTTCTGAGCTCATATCTCGTGTTTTTTCAACTTTATGGAGCTGAAAGTCCTCATTCTGCAAAACAAGGTGTTAGTGTTGCTGGTTCGGGTGATGCTGTAGGGCTGTTGGGACCAGAGACACTTTCGTTTCTTTCTTTTAAATCAGTTTATTCAAATCTGAAATGAATTCTGTTAGCTGTGGTTTACAGGAGAGGGGGGAGCCAGGGGAGCTGCTGAGGTTTGATGCAGATGAAAACAGCCTGGAATCGGCCCTGTGCCCCCCACATTCCCTCGCCGAGGGCGGCTGCTGCTGCTGCTGCTGTGAAGGTGGTGGTGGTCCAAGTGGCTTCTCTGAGCTTTAGAAAAAGAGATAGCTGGAGCAGAGGTGACTGGAATGGCTGATGGAGGAGGAGATGGAAGAGCCAGGAGAGAGCCTGGGCTGTAGGTGACTTCCCAGCTTGGCTTCTTGGCTCCTACAGCTGACCAGGGTGGCTGAAGGGATGGGGACATGGGACAGCCTGGACTCATGGGGCAGAAGGCAGCAGGGCTTGGCCTGGAGGGTGGCTGGAGGGGACAGGGGCTTGGGCTGGTGGAAGGGCTTGTGTCCGAGGAGCCTGTCCTGAGCCGTGGGCTTGGCAACGTTGGGAAACTTGGGGAGCAGCTGTGGGTGCGTGGGGGCTTTGGAGGGCAGATGTGCAACAGCGGGGAGACCGGTGGGTACCAGAGACCCTGAGATGTTCTCCAGCTGTCATGAACTGCGGATTCCTCAAGGAGCGTTCGACCTGCAGCCGCAGTGAACGTGGGGTAGAGAGGCTCCAGCCCTGACACGTTAACTTACCAGGCACTCAAGTTGTGACAGAATATTTTTTATTGTGTTGGTGGGGAAAGTCCCCTTGGAAAGGACAGTAACAACACTAGAGCGATGCCCAGAGGGGACTTTGCACGCGCAGCCAGGATCTGAGCCAAGGAATCGCTGCCAATGCCAGCAATTACTTCTTGAAACATGGGAGGAACCCCAACCCTTCATTAATTCAGGAATTTACAGGTATTAGAGCAAAATTGTGCTGCCTTGGGAAGGCTGAAATACATAAATTCAATTAAGTCTTATTCTAGAATGTTGTAGCTACCCTAAACCCATGTGTTTAATCTCAGTAAATTCAAATTCATGATTGAGTCTAAAAGCAATTAAAATAAAATCTTACAAAATGAGACACACTGAGAGGCAAACGCCTCCGTGCTCTCTTCTCCCAGCTTCCCATGTATCTAAAATTAACAGAAAACTTTCAATAGACTAAAATTACGCACTCCCAGTTGTTTCTTCTGTCTTCCTCAGTAGCTCTGTGTCTTTGGCACATGCCTTAAATCTGCCCTTTGTTAAGAATTTGGTGGTTTGGATCAAATTAAACCGCTTTTTAAGAACGTGTTTGCTATTTCCCACGCTCCCTCTCCCAAGAAGTCACCAGAGGGCAGCGCCAGGGCTGGGTCGGGATAGGTGTTGAGTCCTTTTACATCTCCAACTTGGCAGCAGTTTCCCTGGGTTTATGACACTTAGGTCTGGGCTATTTACCAAAACATTGGCCACTTCCCGGTTCGTTTGTGAATCAGCTCATTAGGGGTGAGGGTGGTGTTTTCTGCCATCCTCTAGATGCGTTTGGTCTCCCCGTTGGGCTCCAGGATGGTCAGGTTTCCCCTTGCGTCTTGATCTATTTCTATTGCTTCAAACAGAGACTTGAAGTTCCCGGCACCAAATCCCTGTGGAGATGACAACGTTACTGACCGTGGGGACGGGCAGCGGGTTCGTCAGCTCGGAAGCGGCTGGGAAAGAGCAGCACCCAGAACTGACTGGGTGATGGTACTTGATGATGGCCCTGAGGTCTTGAAGCCAAGATCATCGTGAAATCCCCAAACCAACCTGGTGGTTATGCCGCTGGATGACCTCCAGAAAGACCGTGGGTCTGTCTTGAACTGGTTTGGTGAAGATCTGGAGCAAGTAGCCTTTCTCATCAAAATCTACCAGGATTTTCAGTTCCTGGAGAAAAGAAATGGGGCAACAGCTTGAAGACCCACAGAAGAGCAAGGGGATCCCTCTGCATCACCCTCATCTCTGCAAAACACTTTAAGGAGCTGGTCCAAGCCTCTCAAGCCAGTTTGACTCACCGCCAGCTTGTCAATGTTCTCCTTCACTTTGATTTTAGCAGTTTTCAGCCTCTCCCGCAGCATCTGGTAGTAGCTGGATGGCACGTCCATGAACTGCATGCCCCGCTGCTTCAGGTTGGTGATCTGCAAGGCAGGGGAGACCCCAGCGGGCGTCGGGCTTGGGACTCGTTTGTGGAGAGGTTTGTGCCAAGAGGATGGCTCGGGATGGTGTCAGGAGGCAGAGCGATACTTTCCCACGACGTTGGCCAACCTCGTGCATGAGGACATGGCCCACCCTCTTGCTTTGGACACCAGGAATGGGAGGGCCCAAGGTGCTCTCTCCGGGTAATGCAGAGAGCTGGCTGCCGTGCAAGGATCCTTCATCCCACCCTGACCCCCCGATACCTCTGGAGGTGCTTTGGTCTGGAGAGGACTCCAGAACCAAGTGCTCAACAGCAGCTGAGCTCAATCCAGACCAGCATCTGCCCCAGGGCGAAGGTGGGTGATGTGCTGTGGTGGCTCAGCCCCACAGTCCAGCCTGCCCGAGCTCCCCACCAGCCACCCCCCAGGGAAGCACGTGCCGTCAGGGTCCCTCCAGACCCCAATTGCTTTAAGCTGGAAGGACGGACATCTCCCAGCAGCTCCCAGGTGCAGACAGGTCCCTTTCCAGCAACTTGCTGGGCAGTTAATCCTGGTTGTAAGACAACAACTGCACGAAGCCCACTTAGCCAGCCCGTGTCCTCGTACCCTGACGGGGGTCACAGTCCACCACCGCTCCATGACGAGGACTGTGCCCAGTGGGATGGGGCAGAGATGGAGCGGTGCCAGGGCGGGGAGCTGCCCAGGGCTGCACTCACCGCCGAGATGATGTCAGAGGTGTTCAGTGCGATGTGCTGGACTCCAGCCCCTCCATAGTAGTCGACATATTCCTGCGGGGAAAAAACATTACTGCACTAGTGACAGCACAGCTACAGCGCGCAGAGGGCTGGGCTTGGGCTTAAAAACATGAAAGCAAAATTGGCCAGGGGGGCCACAAAATTTGAAAAAAGACAGTATAGGTGAATTCAGTGGTAAACCAGCTCTGTTCCAGCAGCATTCCAGGGTTTGACAGCCCTTTGCAGATCCAAGCAGAGTCAGGGCTGCTTTCCAGAGAGCCAACTTTTCACAGCATGTCTGTGCTGGCTCCAAATCACTGACCCCTGTGTCCCTTTTCCATCACCAAAGCCCTGCTCAAGGCAGCGGCAACCTAATGGATCAACCACTGGTTTGTACTCACCTGAATCTGAGATTTCTTCTTGCCGAATGCCGGCTCGTTGATGGGCATCTTAATGGTCTCTTCATAGTTGGTGACCACGATGGAGCGCAGGGCGCTGAACTCAGTGTGCAGCTGCTTGTCATCCACTGACCAGAAGCGGTGGAAGAGCAGGTTCTTCTGGTACCTGCCCAGACCACAAAGGGCACAGTCAAGCCCCCTGCTCCACCCCTGCACTAACGAAGCTCTGCTCTGGCTTAATTAGTCCTGACTGCTGATGTTGGAGGGGATGAGACCAGCAGAATGGTGCTACTGCTCCGTCCCACCTCCTACCAAACCTCCCTACTCTTACCAGTCTGCCACTGGGACCATCTGGAGGTCAGGCTGGTTCCCCACGACGTGGTCAACAAAGTTGAGCTTGGCACTTGGCCTGTGGGGGGAAGCCAGGGGTGGCTCACAGCTGGGCTCAGAGGCACCTCACAGCGCAGGGAGCTCCAGGGTGAGGCAGTGGGGACCTGTCCAGCTCCTCACTGGGACACCCCACCAGCACACGATGGCAGAGAGCTGGGCAGGACCCTCTGCAGGGTACTCACAGCTTTGGCAGTAGGGGGTCCTTGAAGAGGGGTGGGTGGTACCCGGGCAGGAAGAGGCCCTTGTAGTTGAGCTTTTCTATCAAGGTGTGGGTGGTGTCACCATACTGCGAGAGGGGGGAAAGTGGTTGTGTGGTGGCCTTGTTTTTTCAGGGACCTCCCAGGTCCAGCCTGCTCCCCGCACTGACCCCGCTCCAGCATGGGGGCTCAGCCTCAGCAGCTGCCCTGCTGCTTACCGTCTGGATCACCGCGAACTTCACCTTCCCAAATTTGTCCTCCTCCACCCAGGGCTCTTTCACCACCACGGCTCCGCGCTCCTTGGCTTTCTAGTCAAAAGGAGAGAGGGACCCCCTCCTGCTGCAGCTCCCCGGGGCTGGGGGGAGACATCCCCAGGCCCTTCCCTGACTCCCCTCGCTGTTTCGGGGTGATGTGCAGGAGGGAGCAGAGGGGCTGCCTACCTGCACGATGAAGTCGCAGTCCTCCACTTCGAAGGCGATGTCCTTCACCCCATCACCGTGCTTCACCAGATGCTCCCCCATCTCTGCCCAGTGCAAGAGCAGCCTCAGGCATGAGCAGAGTGCTTTGCTCTGCCATGGCCATTTCCCACTCTGTCCCCCTCCCCACAGCACCTACCCTCATTCCCTGGGTTGAGAGCAGACGAGAGAACGAACACGATCTGGCGAGGAAGAAGAGGAGGGGGTGAGGGATGGAGACGTGGCAGTGCGGCTGCAGCCCCAGCCTGGGCCCGAGGCACTGCAGGCGCAGGGTGTAACTGTACCAATGGGTTTTGGTAGCACCCATGTGCCCAACCCAACCTCCACCCTGGCAGTGGCACCTCTGGAAGGTGCATCAGCCCCTCTACCTTGTCCTGCTTGATGACGTGCGAGACCACCTCCCTGCTGCCTGTCTCCAGCCCCCGGTACGCCAGCTCCTCAAATCCCATCTTGTTGCAGTAGTAGGATGCAGCCTGCAGGCAGGTGAGACCCACCCCGGGTGAAGCCATGGTGCCGGCAGCCCCCAGTTCCCACAGGGATCCCCCTGGCCAGGGCAGCACCAACAATCCATGAGGAATGGCCAGCGCCGCGTAAGTCGCCCGTGCGCATGTTTGTGTGTACGCAGGGAGCAGCTGAGCGTTCCTGCTTCCACCCAGCAGCCCGGGAGAAAGAAGCAGAGGTGTGAAAGAGTTCACTTTGGGGAAAAAAAACCCAAACTCAGTGGGAAATGCTGCCTCCAGAGCCCTCCTGCTCCCAACGTGGCCAGGGGCAGGCAGGGAGCTGCTGCCAAGGGGCAAATATTTCTGCTCGTCTCCCGTTCATCCGTGAGGTTGTGTGAAAAGCCGCTGGGGTTTGAAGCAGAGAGATTTTTTAACTTGCCAGCGGCCTTTTAGCAGCGTGATGGAGAGCAGCTATCGCGATGCCGTATGACCGCAGGCTGGTGGCCATGGCTCAAGCCCTGCCGCGTGTGCTGGTTTGTGTTTTCCGGGCCCCTCCCGCTCACACCCCCGGGCAGCCACCCCTCGCCTTGCGCAAGGGCCCCCAAGGCCAGCGGGCAGAGGCGCTGAGCCAGGGATAGGCTTTGGGATTCCTGAGCCGAGCTGAACTCTCCCCTCCGGCAGCCAGTAACCAGAGCATCCGTCTGTCCCGGCACGGTGGGATCCCACCCTCACACGTGCCCAGCTGGCCTCACCTGCTTGGCATTGCCGACCCAGAAGGTGATGGAGTGGAAATGGATGAAGCGGCCTCGCAGGGGCTAAAGGGAAGGGGAAAACAGGGCTGAGAGCCGCCGCCACGGGGCTACTCTTTCCCGTAGTGCTGCTCATCTCTGGAGCAGGGGGACGTGGCGGCCGTGACCCTGCAAAGGCGATTCCTGCAAATGCATCCAAATTAACCAGGTGAACCCCAGCTGCTGCCCCAAAACAGTGAATTTCCGAAGTGCTTTACAGGTCCTGCAGGATCCTGCACTGTGGGGCAGAAGGTGCAAAGCCCTGGCTTGGCTGGGGCTGCCGCAGTCCTGGTGCTCCCAGTGCTCCGCACGAGCAGCCCCCACAGCGGGCTGCCCACCCACCAACCTCACTGCGTTAAAGATTAATTTGCCCCAGAAACGCTCTTACACAACTACCAGTGCCAGGACAAATCCCCCTTTGCTCTGTTCCCCACCTCTGTCCAACCCATGGTGCCGGGTGCCCAGCTGCGATGTGCACCAGTGGTTTGAAAACACTTTATAGAGGAAAAAGGTGGCAAATAGGCAAAGCATTTGGAAATAAATGTTGCAACAAATGAGGATTCTGCTTGGGCATTGGGGTTGGCTGGGAAATACCCATCATCTCCCATTTGTCTCTCTCCTCCCAAACCAGAAAGAAAAAGGAAATGAAAAGATTTCTGTTGTTAACGTTGATTTACAATGAGGACCCACATCCTGAATGGCCTAGCCAGAGAGCAGTTTTACTTGTGATTTTACCAGGTAATCAAGGAGTAAGGAATGAGTATTATTTCCATTAATATGGCTGATGTTTCACACAAGGCAGCGAGGCAGGACCACAGACATGGCTCTTACCTTTTCTCCCTTGTCTGTGTAAGTTGTCTGAAAAGAGAGAATCAGAAAAGAGAGATGTTAGCAGTTCAGGAAGGTACCTCAGCCCCCAGAGAGCTCAAATCCAAAGGTCAGCGTATGAGGAAGAGCTCCTCTACATAACTTCCAGCACCGACACTAAAAAGTCCGTATTCAAGCAGAGATTAAACCCAGTGAAGCTCCCGAGACATCCCGTGCTGTTGAGCCCTGGTTGTTTAAATTAATTCCCATGGCTGCCCCTCACCATTTTTGTGACCTGGCGATGTGACAGCGGCAAAGAGAGCGCGAGTCTGGGAGGGCATGTAATATAGTGGTGGGACAGGGGAAGCTCCTCCTCAGCTCCACCTTCTCCCACCCCCAACCCGAAGCGTTTGTGGCCCAGAGATATGGTTGGTTTGGGTTGGGAACTGCCCGCATCGTCCCTGGGGGGCTTTTTGGGGCCACATTGCGGGGTGCTTTGCAGTCCTGGCTGTGGCACAGCAGGGTTAAACACGGAGGGCGGTGAGCGTGCAAGCTTGCAAGTGTGCAAGCATGCAAGGCTCTGCTGTGCGGGAGCCAGCGTGCCCCACAGCACAACCTCCCGTGGGTGCTGGGGCCACAGTGGGGTGATGCAACTGTGGCAGCACGTCCCCCCTCAGCTCCCCCGCCTGCCCCTGAGGACATTCACCCCTTCGTGGGGACGTGTCCTGTCCCAGCCAACGCTGAGCCAGGACAGTTTGGCTGTATGTAGAGTCCAGCCGTGCGTATGGTGCCTGGGCCTGGGGCCACTGGTGTCACCTTCAGCTCCGGTGAGCCCAGCATTGCAGGGGGTCAAAATACCCCAGACACAGCAGGGGGAGGGGCAGGAGCTGTGCTGGGGGAAACACCAGTGCACAAAGACCCCAGGCTGGGAGCAGTGGTGAGCTGAAGCCACTGGTGGGGCCAGGAGAGTGAGCATGGGGGGCTTCGGTGGGTGATGGTGGTGTGGAGGACGAGCGTGGCGGTGTGATGTGGGGCTGTGTCCCCTGCTGCCACACTCTCTGGGGGACGTGGGTGCCGGGGCACTGGCTGGAGCAGGGTCAGCAGCAGGGACAGGGTCATGGCGGTGTGACCTTATGGCAGTGACACTGCTGTGCCACCACATGTCACCATCAGAGCTGTGTCACCTCATGGCATTGCCACCGCCGTGTCTCCCTATGGCACCGCCACTACGGTACCACTCCACACCTCCATCCCCTCTGTGCCACCCCATGCCATCATCCCATCTGTGTCACCCCACGTCCCCATCCCCTCCGTGTCGCCCCACGTCCCTATTCCCTCCGTGTCACCCCACACGTCCCCATCCCCTCCGTGTCACCCCACGTCCCCATCCCCGCTGTCCCACCCCACGCCGGCGCTGGTCCCGATGGCTCCGCCCCCGCCGCCCTGTCCACGCCCCCACCTAGATCCCCGCCCTCCGTGGGCGGAGCCTCAGCCGCCGGCCCCGCCCCGCCGCCGCTGACGCCGTTTGTCCGCTCCCGGCTCCCGTTGCGGCCGTTACAGCGCGGCCGGTGTCGGCCATGGCGGAGCCCGGCGGCAGCCGCCCTGTCACCGTCAGCGACGTGCAGCAGCTGGTGAAGAGGAAGGACGAGGTCGAGGCGCAGATCAAGGCCTGCTACGAGCTGCTGGAGGACGTCAGTGCGGCGGCGGGGGCGGCGGGCGGGGGGTGGCGGGGCGCGGGGCCGGGCCGCAGCCCCACGGCCGCCTCTTCCCCTCACAGCAAAAGGGCGTCGGGATGAACGAGCCGCTGGTGGACGCCGAGGGCTTCCCCCGCGACGACATCGACCTCTACCAAGTGCGCACCGCCCGGCACAACATCATCTGTGAGTGGGGACCCGCGGCGGGGGCGGGCGGCCCCTTCCCGTGGCGGGCCGGGAGCTGCGTGGGAGACCGGCAGGCTCCTGCTGCTGGAATAAATGTCCCTGACAATAACTGTACCCATCTAGCGTCTCAAACACCCTTTGGCTCAGCCTGCTCGTTGCAATCCTCAAAAAAACTGGAAAACGGGGTTGCTTTGAGTTTGGTTTTCAGTGGGTTTTTGCCCTGTGCTCGCAGCCCGTGGGGTTTGGCTTAATCAGTGAAACACTTTTCTCCACATGTTGATGCAGCGTCATTGGAATTCTGATTCTGCTGTGGAGCCCTTTGGGATTCGTGCAACACAGCAAAGTATTGTTGTGCTCTTTGTTGAATAAGTGTTGGGTGAAAAACAGCTTGGTGTTTATTTCTATTTCTTCCCAGGCTTACCCTGGGCCATGTATTTGGGGATGGTTTTTGCTCTGCATGTGTGTGACTTGATGCAAAAAAAGGCATCAGCTGCTCAGTGATTTCTAGGTGATCATGGGCCGCCACGCCATGCTTCCTCGCGTGTTTGCCAAAATTTACAAGGTAGTTTTCTCTGTGCCTAACTTCTGCTGATAAACATCTGCCAGGCTGTGTGAGCAGTGCTGGCACCAGCACCCAGCAGATCCACCAGCAGCAGTTTTTGCAAAGCCACAGCAGGGACCTGAGGTGCCCAGAATACCGTTTTCCGCACCGTTGCGGAGGAGAGCGCGTGCTGGGAAAGATCCCTTAGATGTAACCTGCTGCTGCTACCTGTGTGCTAATGGTGTCACCCCCAGGTTTGCAGAACGATCACAAGGCCCTGATGAAGCAGGTGGAGGAAGCTCTTCACCAGTTGCACGCCCGGGAGAAGGAGAAGCATGCCAAGGACGAAGCAGAGGCGTTGGCTGAGGCAATGAGCCAGAACCAGAGCCTGCCACAGGCTTTTGCCAAAGTGAATGCGGTGACTCCAGGATCTCCTGCAAGTATCTCGGTAAGGTGGTGGGGCCTGACAGCTCATAGGGAAGGCATCTTCTGTACCCAGAGAGAAAACACAGCAGATGGCTTTCTCTGTCTCTCATTAATACGTGGGAATGAGTTGGGGGTTTGATTAGGGTTCCTCCTGGCTTTTGTGGTTTTTTTTTTTGGTCACACTGGGATGTCCTGTGAATAGACTAGTTGCTGTATGGGAATGAGATGAGTGGTCTCTTCTCAGGTGTATTGTTGCACCACACAGCTCATACGAGGCCTCACTGACCATCAGTATTTCTCTTCCCATAAAACAGGACAGAGGATTGAGTACTTAGTACTTCCTAAGGACATGGAGAGGGTGCAGTGTAGTTCATTTGCCTGAATGGTGAGAAGAGTAGTGTCATAGCACATCCCTCTCCATGTGGCTGGGTGAAGGGTAATGCTTTTATAATATTACCTGCCTTCTTTGGAGAAGGCAGATGCCCATCTTCCTTCTGTCTCTGTCCAGGGACTTCAGGTCGATGATGAGATCGTGGAATTCGGTTCTGTCAACGTAAACAACTTCCAGAACCTGCAGAATATCGCCACAGTGGTGCAGCACAGCGAAGGGGTGAGCTCATTTCTACTGTAACTGCATTCTCTTGCCTGTCTCTCCTAACCACAGCTTTTTCTATGGAACTTGGATCTCTGGGATCATTATTTCCATGTCAGATTCAATCTGTGCTGTTGCAGCCTTGTTCTCTCACAGTGCCAAGTTAATTCTTACTCCTGGATAGAAGAGAATGAAGTGTGTCCTCTTTTCTGTGAGCATCATATTGTCTGTTTTCCCCTGGGAACTCCCTGTTGTGTTGCTGTGCCACCCTCATGGTCTCGTGGACTGGCCGAAGAATCTGCCATAGTCATCGAGCGCTTTATAGTGGAAGTGAGGGATCACCTGGAGGTTTCTCCCCACCAAATGATCTCTTCTTGCAGGTCTAGCTGCAGGGATGGGAATGGGCATCACTGAAGAGCAGTTCCCCTAGGCCTAATGTTTTGGTGTTTGAACAGAAGAACAAAGAGGGTTGACTTGATGGTGGAAAGTTACCATACTTTATTCTTGTATTTTATTTTTTTCTCCCTTTCAGAGACCCCTGAGTGTGACTGTGATCCGCAGCGGCAAAAAAGTGCATGTGGGGCTGACTCCAAAGCGCTGGGCCGGGAAGGGCCTCCTGGGGTAAGCTGCTGTTTCACTTAGCAGAACAGATGAAGCTTTCACCCAGCTCGGAGCACGTTTCCTGCAGCAGGGCCAGCTCTGTGCTTTGCTCTCAGTGTGTGTTGCTGCTCATTCTGATGGACTTCACTGGCGGGTACCAGCTGAGAGCTGGAGGCTGACAGTTTTGCACAGTGATATGGGGAGGTGACTTGCATCAAACACGAGCACAGGGAGGAGGGTCTCAGTGGCCAGTTTGTCTGGTAGAGGAAACCAATGGAGCAGGGTTGTGGTGGGTCTGATTCATGCCATGTCAGATCTTCTATGCTTGAGAACTGAGATTTTAATGTTTCCTTCTACCCTCTTCTTTTTCAGCTGCAATATCATTCCTTTGCAGAGATGACCATTGCTTGGAAAACAATAAAGCTGAAGTTTGTGCCTGCTTTCTGGACTCTGATCTGGTTTGAAAACTTCCTTACATGTTCTTGCTGAAACAAATGTTTCAGAGGCTGTGGCCTCTAGGTGCCAGACTCGGAATCTGAAGAGGTTCTGATAGAGCAGGGTCTGCCTGCAGTTCAGAATAGCACTGGTTGGTCAGGAGTAGCTTACAGAGTTGCAAGCTGTGGCTTCTCATCTCTTACACCTTGTATTGATTTGGAATGAGGCTACAGAGAGACCCAAACTTCACTTGATACAGGCTCTAAAGAGCATGAAATGCTCTTACTTGGTGATAACAGAGCGTTCCTTTTTTAGCTCTGTAAAATTCCCCACTGAATATCTTGTAAATATATGCTGCAAAGTTCTGGAGCACTTTTTGGTGTTTGTATTAGTAGATGACAGTCAAGAAATATGCAAGTCTGATACTTTATCTTGCCCATGTTACCACAACTTTTGAAACCACTGAACATGATGAAAGAAATTTTGGAATGCCTAATTATTTTATATCAATGAGGTAAGGAGTAGGGGTTATAATTCTACTTTTATTTACTTTCAGTAGTTTGCATAGTTGTGAGAAAAATACTCCTAATATGGCTTCTCTCTTTTTGTTTTTAATTTTAAAGAATTTGTTTATTTGCGGTAATTGTTTTTAGCATGTATAAACTCTTCGAGAGGATTTTGGGGGTGATTGGTTCGTTTTAAGCTTGTTTCCAGTTGAACTTCAAACAATCTCCCAAAACAATAAAACTAGTAATGCCTCTCATTCTTGTAGAAGTTATTATTTTGGGCAATAATTGTGGGCCAAGTTGGGTGAGTTAAATGCGGATCTGCACAGACACAAAATCTGACCCCCTGACCTCCAGAGCAGAAGCCCAGGCAAGGTGCAACTCTTTCATTACCATTTCATAACCAGGTTGTGGCATAAGTAACACATCACACATAATGAGCAATTTTCTGCTAAGTGTTATTAACCAGATCTGAAATAGACTGAAAAAGTGGACTAAACCCCAGACTTTTAGATCACTCACTCAGGGCTCTGTGTTAAATTGAGTAGTTTTACTCTATTGATATTTCAAGCATTTGCTTTTCAGCGTACAGTCCAGGAGAGCAGATTCTCACTGAAACAGTAAAGCTTCAAAGCAAAGCTCCTCGCTCGGTGATTCCTGCAGGCTTCACTGTGCTATGGAGGAAGTGTTGCTGCAGCAGCCCATGGCAGTGTTCCTTGTGTCTAGATAATTGCCATCAGACAGTCTCACCCTGGCCTTTCAAGTAATTTTAAAAGGGCTGAAACATGGCACTGTGGTGCTCCATCCCTTTTCTTGAAGAATATCAGAATGGGAGGTGGTTTGGGACCCTCTGTCACGTGTGCATCTTGCCTTGCTTTACCACAACGGTTCTGCACTGCTGACCGTCACCAGGAGCTCTGACCCACACAGGCCCCTGCATCTCCTAAATCCCCTGTGCAATCCCACCTGAAAGCAGTGTGATGTCCCTGGCTGTAGTTACAAGGTAAGTACCGCCACGGGGTTGTTCTGTAGGAGAGCTGAGTCTCTGCGTGGGACCAGAGTGTCAGCAGGCTTGTGTAAATCTACAATTGTTAAATGCACACGTCAGGTTTGGGAGCCTTGTTTTTTGCAAAAGGGGAAGTGTATTGTAGGTGCTGCTGGAGTTTCTAAACATGTGACTCTGCCTATGTCCACAGCTGCCCCTCTCTTGTCCCTATGAAACAGAATGTAGGTGTAAGTATGTAGATAAATTAGGTATCAGTTGGCAGCTGAAATGTCAGAGTGCCAAGGGGCTGGTCTTGGCCATGGGTACTTGGGAAATAGGTCCAGGTGTCCCAGCTTTTACCTGAGCTGCAGGTTAATCTGGGTCTAGATATCAGTCCAGGAGAAGAAAAGCTCACGGAACGCATCCTTCTGGGCCTTCACATTTGTGCCTCCTGGGATGAAATGATCTAGAAAATCCCAGCTTTCTGTGCTGCTCTTGAAATGAGGTTAGGGGGTCAGTCCAGCCCCCTCAGCCAGGTTAATTCCTGTTCCTGGGGAGCTCCTTTCCCTTTCAGTGTGGAGGATGAACACTTCAGAGCGCTCTTAGCTCTGTGAGGCTTTTGTAGACGTGCATCCCCAACCTTCTGTCCTAACTGCTGCGTCCCCAGCCCCGCCGGTTGGGTGTCCTGACTAGAACGGGTTGAACAATCCCAACAAGTGTAATAAACACAGATTATGTTGCAAAACCTGTTGTGGATAGGTAAGGTTTGAGCTTCTTCCTTAGACCGCACTCAAACCTCTGCTGTAGGACCAGAGCAGAAGAGGAGCTGCTCTCAGTCAGAATAAACAGGATTTTTGTGCTGGAGAGCAGAGATGACTCCTGCTATCTGATATGGTCTGGGAAGAAAAGCACTGTGAACAAGCTTGGTGTGCAGGTGCTGATGTAGTGAACAAGGCTGACTTCTTGCATCTGGCAGAGATGGGGCTTGAGGACCAAATCGCTGCTCCTGAAGCCATAAAACTCTGATTTGAAGCAGTGGGTTATGCCACAGAGGAGGAGTTGAGAGCAGCCACGTTTTGACAACCCAACTCTGCGCAGCAGCCTCTTCAGGTCGAGGAGATAATGTGAGCTGATAACAAAACCCCATTCCTCTCCCAGCAGGGTATGAGGTTCTTGCTGGGCAGAAGGAAAAACAAATTAGCTTTAGAAATTGTTATTATTTGAGCTTAACAGCAAGGCTACAGTCAACAGTTGGAGCACTTAGAGCTGATTATATGCAGTGGTGGAGGCAAGTGCTTGGAGTGATCCCAGGGAATGGGGTCCCCTGTGTGGGTGCCATCCTGGCAGAGCTGGGGATGGTGGGGGGACCTGTCAGTGCTGGGAGGCTGATTTTTCCTGCTTTTACTCTGCTTATCCTGCTCAGGGGTGCCAAGGGAGCAGAAGCTGCTCACAACCCTTGTGGGGAGGGCAGGTGTCAGGTGAAGAGCCCTTGTCCTGTTCTGCAGGCAGGGCGAAGGTTCAATCCTAAAGGGCTCTGGCGATGCCAAGAGGGGCTTTGCCACAGCCATGAGCAGGATTTAGGCTTGGGCAAGGTGAAGGGCTGAACGTCCCCTCCCGTGCCACTGGGTTCCTGCTTTGGGCTGGGGACCAGCACTGCCTCTGCATGGCAGCTGGAGAGGATGAGGAGGGTACCTGCTTCTCTCCCCGTACAGCCCCCCTCTTTCCCCCGGCGTATTCGGGGCTGCGGGTGCAGCCGTTGGTGCAGCCGTTGCCTGGGAACGGCAGTCGGATGCAAACAGAAGCAGGGACCGGTGCGATGGTGAGCGGTGGGGTCCCCACGGGGGGGGGGGTCCCTCAGGGCAGCGGGAGGGACAGGGCAATTGGGGAGGCACTAAGGCCTGGAGGAGAGTTGGCAATGGCTCTGCAGTGATCCTGGTGAGACCTGTGGGGCCACAGATGTCCCCGAGCACTCGTCCTGCCTGCCAGGGCCAGAGGGAGGGTTTTTCCTGGAGCCACTTTTCCATTCCTGTGAAAGCTTTCTGTGCACAAGGTTCCAGTATTGCCTTAAATCCAGACCCGTGAAGCTGGAGATGAGCCAGCTGCCACCCAGGAGGGGCCCTGCTGCTTGTGGGGACTGCGACAAAACCCCGTCTGAGGAGAAATGCCCGTGTTCAGCACAGCGTGCAGGCACACCGGGAGGGAGCCTGATCTCAGCTGGAGTAACCGGGGCTGTGCTGGGATTGCTTGTGCTCAGCGGGAGCACCACGGGAGCTGAAAAAGGGCTCTGGGATGAGTTTCCCAGCTTCACAGGTGTCCTTTCCTCCCACTGTGCCAAATTCCAGGTTGTTGTGCAGTCAGACCCTGGGTGGGGGAGTATTTACGAGCATCTCAGTGCCCCAGCTCCCTGGAGGGAGGGTGAAGGTGAGGGTGGATGGGCCAAGTGAAGTTATACCAGAGGAACAAACTGGGGGAAGAACAGGAGTAAGCAGTGAGCCCATGGAGATGTCCCAGGATGGACAGACGTGCTGCCTGAGCTAGTGAAGGCAGCACCATCATGAGCCCTGCCTGACACGGGGCCCACGGGCAGGTCCTGGGGGAAGCAGAGCCCAGGACCAGGGGGTAGTGTCTCCCAGACATGGTTTCTCAGAATATGTCCCTGGGGAGGTGGGGCGGGGGGCCTGGCAGATGCAGTGTCTTCCGCGTAGTCTCACTCCAGCCATCAATATTTGCTGAGCACTTGAGCTGCCTGAGAGTTACATGAGCAGGAGGAAACTCGGCCTCGTCCCTGTGCAGAGTGAAATGTTATCTTACCTCCCTCAGAAACAGAAATGGTGTCCAAATGAGGGTTATACCTTGCATGAGAGATTGCTATAGGAAATCAAGTAGCCCCCTGGGGAGAGGCAAAAGCTGATGTAGATCCCAAGAACAAGATTAAGTGGCCAGTGCTCAGACTAGGGAAATCTTGTCTGAGGGCTGCTGCAAGCTCTGACACCCCAGGCCTATTTAATGCATTTATTAACAGGCTGGTGAGGGGCCGAGGAAGGTGGTAGTGGGATTTTTACCCTCACTTTCTGTCTGCTTGCCAGGCAGCATGGTGAGAAGTGCTGGCAGCAGAGTTGGGATTGCTGCAGAGCCCTTCACAGCCAACTCAGCCCCAGTCCCAAGACCTGATTCCCTTGTTTTTAACTTCAATTTGCCATCATTCCCTCTCCAACCTGTGACCATGCACCCCATTGCAGCAATCAATAACCATTGCATGGGGAATAGTCAGGGGATGGACAGCAAAAAGGCCAGGCTTTTTGCCTTCAAAGCACATATAGGTTAGTATTGGAGGAGAAATTTGGGCATCTTAGCCCAGGTGACAGGAGCAGCCAGGGAGAGGTGCTGGTGTGAGACACAGGATGCTGTAGGGGTGCAAAGAGGGCAAGGTTAGATGTGCAGAAAAAGGAAAAAGTGAGCGGTGGGAGACTTTTCCCTGGTACAAATTCATAGGCAGGTCAGGTGCAGAGGAGTATCCTGATATTAGAGCTTGCCCTGGAAGTGATATAGGTTGGATCTGAGATGTGCTGGGGTGCGTTCCCACTAGCTGTGGACCAGCCCAGGAGCCAGGGCACATCAAAACCTCGCTCCCTTTCCAAGGACCCCTTCGCTGCTGCTAAGGAGAAGGAAGGATTACCAGAGGATGCGGCCAAGAAGAAGGAAGGAGCACTGAAGGATGCTGGAGCAGATGCACTGTTGGGTCCCCTGTGGTCTTCTTCAGGGATGGGGATCCCAGGCACCCTGCCTGGCACCTGGGCTGGGACACAAGACACAACTGCCTTGAGGAGTGCCCTGGGAGAAGACACTGCTGGGACAACACACCTGGATGGTGCCGGACCCCCTGGAGCACCCTCAGCATTGCCTGAACCCAAGGGGGGCATTTCCAGCCCTTGCTCAGGCTGCAGGGAGCAGAGGAACAGGGAGGACGATGGGCGCGATAGCTCTGCCAGCTTGGTGTGGGTGGCCACGCCAGGGATGCTCTTCCAGGAGGAGAGGCAGGCCAGCCTGCACACCCTTGTGAGTACCAATGGGTGCAGTGCCACCACAGTGGCCTGCACAGCACCCGGCGCTCCTGCCCAGCTCTTCCCCATCACCCCAGAGAGCTTTTTGTGGCTTTTCTTTCTGGTCCCAGCTGCTAAGAATCAGGAGATCCCTTTTGCCTGCAGAGCCTGTCCTGGGTGTTGGGCTACAACAGCGGCCTGGCTGTGCACAGCCTGATGGATGGGGAAGACCGGGTGCTCCTGTATGTCTCTTCTCACACAGCGGTCATCCACGATGTCCTGGGGAACAGGCAGTACCATCTGCAGGTCTGGCATGCAGCCCACGTGTCTCCCTCCTCCTCCTCCCCTTCTCCCAAACCCATCCTTCTCCCCTCCATCTCTTTTCCCAGTGCTTAGCAGACACCTATAACTGAATTGAGGAGCAGCTCATGCAAAGGAGCGCATCGTTTTGCTTGCACACCTGTTTCAATTTCCAACACATGTTGGTGGAAGGTGCTTTGTGTTGGATTGCAGTGGTGACCGTGAGTGGCACGTGCAGCATGGCCCCCTCCTCTCCAATGCTTTTTGGCTCTGGGAGCCGCAGCTGGCTCAAGGCACAAGGATGGGGTGTTGGGCTCAGAAGACCCTGGGAAAAATGGGATGCAAAAGTTGGGCTGGGAAGATGAGAGTGGAGGACCCTTGGGAGAGGAGAGAAGGGGAGCTCATGAGCAGAGCAGTTTGATGAGTGCTTTAAATAATCACCAGTCTGGAGGCTTCATGGCACTTTGCTGCTTTTCTTTCCCCAGGGCCACACGAATGTAATTTCTTGCCTGTGTGTGAGTGAAGACAGGCGCTGGGTTGCAACTGCTGACCGAGGGCCGGGTGCTCTGATTATTGTGTGGGACTCCTTCTCTGGGTAAGCTCACGGGAACATTCTCTTCAGAAACCTCCTATGTCAAGTAAATTATTTAGGACTGCCTCCAGGCTCAGCTGAGAGTGAAATGGAAGAAACACAGGGATGGAGTAAAGTAGCAAAGGAGCCTAAACCAAGCTGGGGGCTTCATTGTCCTCACATCACCCCCACCCATGGGACACTGAGATGGGGCTGAGCGTCCCCAGACTAAGTACACCGTGTCTCCAAGCTGTAGTATTTTCTTAAAACTTCACTGGTGAGTTGTTTCCCAGAGTCATTTACTTGAGAGGAAGAGATGGAGAGGATGTTGAGCATCAGCTGTGGTGCTGGCTGCACTCAGGCAGCACTGGTGCTTGCAGACCCCTCCTCGCCACGCAGACCAGCGTGGGCTGTGCCATGGATTTTGCCTTGAACCCCCTGTGCTGCTGTGAGTGCCCACGAGGACTTTGCTCCCTAGGATACCGGTACGCACCATCTTTGAGAGTCATCCAGAGGATGGGGTCAGTGCTATTGCTATTTCCAAGGATGCGAAGTATTTGGCAACCATTAGCGCTGGTACAGTGCAGGTAAAGAAAATATCTCTTCTTTCATAGCCTTGTGGGATAGATCCCTGGAATTTTTCCTGGTGCAGCAAAGGGGAGGGGGGAATTCAGGTGGGGAGAACAGGAGAGAGGTGGAGCAGTTTTGCAAAGTGAGGGCTTGTTTTTGCTGAGCTATTGGAAGACAGACCTGGATTTTGTTAAAGTGAATGCTGTGGAGTTAAGAATACAGATCTTAAGTTGGGATGAAAGCTTCTGACTCCAATGCACTTTCACTGAAGCAAGTTCTAGCATTGTTTCCTGAAATTAAGCTCTCTGCCACCAGGCCATGCTGGTTTATCCTGCTCCAGTCTTTTATGCCCCACTATCCCCTGCAGCTGGGAGGGATGGGGTTCACCTGGCTCCCCCGAGCTCCCTGAAAGCCACAAATGTCCTTTGGGGTTTCCCTTCTCTGCCAGAGAGTTTGTGTTTGGAAGTGGACTTTGCCCACAGAGAAACCCACGTGCAGCACGGAGCTGAGGCCTGAGTTTGGGTATCAGGTGAGTGACAGTGGCCAAGGGGTGCAGAGGAGCATGACTGGGCTGGACTGGGCAGCCCCATCCTCACCTGCACCCCCGTGACTCCATCCAGTACAGGGATGCTGGGAGATGCCAGCTGGAAATGGGAGGCAGGATCACACGTCGTCCCTGTTGCACCCCAGTGCAGAGGGGACCCTGGCGGGGCATCCCCCACCGCAGTCCTGGCACCGGCCAGGGCTCATGGCATGAAAAGCCTACAGCTCTGCTGGCTTGTCCCTGCTCGCAGAGGAGACAGCACAGCTCTGGTGATTCACAGGGGATTTGGCCTCTGTTTTCGGTTGGGTGCAGGTGCTGAAGTGGGTTTTGGGTAAAAGCAGATGTTTTGCATGAAAGACTAAACAGAAAGCATTGCTCAGCTTGATGTTAATGCCACTCACCTTTTAATTTCAGGATTATGTCATTTTTAACCCTCAAAATCCCTATGAGTTTGTGAGCAACAGCAAAACCCAGGTGATATTTTACCTGTGGGTAAGTGGGGACATGAGAACTTGTATTTCTGGTGCCAGATGTGCTCCCAGAGGGTTGGGAGGCGGTGCGGGGGCGCTGCACACTAGTGAGGCAGTGTGGGCTGTGGGCCCAGATGTTTGCCCATGACTTGGGTCACACTTTTCTTTGCAGGTCTGACCCCCTGCCCTCACTAGACTTGAAGGTGGTTTGGGCAGAGCATCGCTCTCCCTCAACTCCCACACCAGGGTTGGTCCCAGCTGTGGCAGTGATGCTCTCTGCCTCTCCCACCCCTGCTTCCCCGGGGCCCTCTGTGTGCCTTGTGCCAGTCAGCAGCTTTTGGGAGAGGAGTGTGTGAAGGGAGGGGGTCTTTTGTGCTCTCTAGAAGGTCTTGGAGCCTTTTTGCCCCAGGAACCCTGATTTGGTCACCACGGCGTGGGGGCAGTGCCCAGACAACAGGGAGGAGACAGGCTGGCACTTCAGAGTACAGTTTCAAAATGCTTGTTGTGGACATTTTTTCACCTTTTCCCAGGACGATGCTGGTTTGCAGTATGGAGCACCATTCCTGAGCAGCCAGGTGAGCGCAGGGGGGACCACAGCATGTCACCACCTTGGCTTTCCTCCTGGCAGCAGCATTGTCCCCTCTCATCCCCTTAAGCAAAAACAGTGGCCATGTCCCCAGCCTGTCCCCCTTGGTCTTCTGAAGGGACAAGCCAGGATTGATTGAGCTGAGTTTAAGAAGGCCTCTCTCTCCCAGAGATGCCCCACTGCATCTTCTCCTGGGGCTTTTGCCTCTGATGGTCCTTCCATGGGACGGGGAGGGAATGTCACATGGAGGGACCAAGCAGGAACATTTCTGCTTGAGGAGGGAAGAGCCAGCGCCTAGGACAAACACACAGCCTCACCACTCTCTCTGCAGACCTTCAACAGTGTTGTGGGACACTTCAGCCAGTCGGTTTTTCATTTTAACAACTCGCAAGCTCTGACAGGCACCTCGGCTGGAAAGCTGGTGGTGTGGGATGTGGTCAGTCCCCGCACCCCCTCCAAGGAACTGCAGGCCAAGATGCACAGCATGAAGGCCACCAAACTGGTGCCCTTGCAGAAGGACAGCCTTACCGTGCTCCAGGTGTTTGAGAGGTAGGGACAGCAGTTTTCAGTAGCCATAGGTACATTCCTCAGATGTCTCAGCCGTAAGAATGCAGAGCTAATGTTGACAAGCTACAGCCAATTGTTGCAGTTTTGAGTCACTTGGCAGCGTGGGAGGACCAGGGAAATTCATGCAGGAAAGCGGTGCTGCTTTATGAGCCGTTTCTCCAGCTTTTTCCAGCAATGAATTTGGCTAGGGAAGAAAATAAAAGTTGAAAACTCCTGCTAACGTGATCCCAGCTCTGCTGGGGTAGCTCAGACACTGGGCTGCCACGGTCACCGAGGATCGTGGATGAGTCCTGCTCAGCCTTCTGGCCTTTACCGGCAGAGGGAGCAGACAGCCACCAAACGCCTTGTCAGCCCTGGGGACAGGGCAGGGGACACTGCGGGGCCACAGCAGTCTGGTGGTTTCTGCACAACCCTGGGCTTTCCCCCTGCACATCTGTACCGGGCTCTTCTCATGCACTTGTGCAGAGAAAAGGGGAAAGAAATTTGCTTCTGCCCAAGGATGCTATCCAAGAAACATTTGGGTGTTCTCAATCAGTGTGTGGATTAAAAGCTTTCCCTTCCTTACAGCTGCAT